TATTTCTCCATCGCCCATCCCAACCCCACCCAATTTCTGTAACCGGGAAATTTTTGAAAGCTTGTAACATTACCTACATTAACAGCTTTTCCATTTCATAAATTGTGATACAGAAACTTCAAAATATCTAGCTAAAATTCTTTATTAATATCTAAAATATAAAGCCTACAATCATTTAAATACACTTAACAAGATTGCTTCAAATGTCAGAAAGTTTTGGGAATCCAGCAGAGAGCAGGACAGTGAGAGAAACAGGAGGAGAATGCATCCCCAAAATTCAAACTCACTTAAAACCCTTTAAAAATGCAACAGTTGTACAACATATTTACTTGCATGGTTTTCTTTTATATTGATTGAGTTCAACTGTTTTGCCAAGAGATTAACCTGAAACCATTTATTTCAAGATCAAGTATGCAACCAGAATAACAATAACAAAAAATTCTTCTCCACTGGTAATATAGATATGTATTATTTCACAATTTTGAGCATTACAGATATACTGAAGATTTTTAGATAGTTTTATTTTTTTAACTTACCAGCAATAGTAAAGGTATACTACTATGTAGTAATGTCGGTATTTTGACAAATAAAAATTGAGTACATTTCTCATTCTGTATATTGCTTTATACACCACCATGTGATAAAAATATGGTGAATGTTTAAATTTTTAAAAATTATTACTGTAAAAGACAAATTGACATTAATCCCTTTCTAGATAGTCCCCCTCACTTTCAACATAGTTATTCCTTCATTCTGGCCCTTCCTGAACAAGTTTATAGTTATGGCAATTTCTGTCAAATAAAAACTTTATGGTGTATCTGTTGACAATCAGCCTCTGGGTCTTTTAGTAAACTGAGTTTGAAATCATGAATCAGCAAAGCGAGACTGCTAACAGTACTGATGTCGCCAGATGAGACTGAATAATGCTAGGTGCCAACAGTTGACACAGCCACTTGCTGGTCACTGCCTGATACTGTAGGTAGACTCTGTCAGGTGCTAGTCTTGGCTGCTGGTCTCTGGAGCTCTTTAGTGCTAATAGCCCCTCCCTCTTGTTTATTGCTCTTTCTTTTTGAATCAACCACTGGGTCCAAATTACTCGGATAAGAATCCCAAGTAGATTTACAGGACTTTTGGAGCCCACATTACCTGAGAAATATATCATGAGTAGGTGTATAGGACCACCAAAGCAAATCTTTATTTTAACAGGGCCTGTGCTGTAACATAATGCGGTCAGTACACTAGGAAGAGCCCTCCTAGACTAACCTGAGAAATGTGTGTGGTGGGGGGAACTGGTGCTTATATGCAGGCCTGTGATTGGTCCAAGTACAGGCCTATGATTGGTGCAGGGCTCCAGGACAACCTCTCTTGTCATGGTGGTGATCCAGTGAGGAGGCAGGGCTGAAACCAGGGCATCTTTGGGAAGGTTTGCTGTGGGGGTTGGGGATATTAACAGTGGGTCCACATCCCTCCCTCTCTAATCTTGGCCCTGCCAGTGTACCCATCCCTGCTTTAAAAAGGCAACAGTTCAGTCTGAAATGGTGGGAGCAGAGGAGGGGCACTTTGCTGACATTTGAGCTGCACTCATATTGCAGTGGAGTGGAAGAGAGTGAGTGGCTGCTAGATAGCCAGGGAGGACCCCCTAAGCAAATTATCCCAGTCCACTGGGGATGATGGTGAGGGGACCAAAGGGTAACGAGAGAGGAGAATGACAGCTGCTGGCAAGACACAGTCCCCTCCAGCCAGCATGGGAAAAACAAGAGAATCAGGTTTGCCATTCTGGCTTTTCCCTAAAGTCAAAATGACTGGGAAAGCTGCATGTTTTCAATCAATTCAGAACACTGAGGCAACCACAACAGTGTAAAGACATGAAAGATTTCCAGCATTGCTTTTGGAAGTGGCAAGAATGAGGGAACAAATGTGTTTGAAGCAAGGGGGTGTATTTTGAAAGGGGATTAATGACAATGTGTCTTTTACAGTAATAATTTTTAAATTTTTCACATTCACCTTATTTTTATCACATCTCATATAATTTTTCCTATTGGTGCCTCTATATGACTCATCTGCTTTACAATAGAGAAAAGCTAAAAAGATTAAGCAATATGGTAAAGCATATGGCAGGATCTCCTATAGGCATTAGGAATTGTGTTTATGTATACTAGGTAAAATAAGCCAGACACAAAAAGACACAAAAAGTTCTTACATGTAGAATTTAAAATAATCTAATCTTATATGTGGAAACTAAAACTCACAGAAGCAGACAGTGCAGTAGTGGTTACAGAGCCTGGGGTGGGAAGATTGGAAGAGGATGGTACAAAATCTCAGTTACACAGGAATAAGTTTATTTTTAGATCAGTTGCACATTATGGTGAATATAGTTAATACTAGTGTATTGTATAGCTCAAAATTGCTGAAAGAGAGCCAGGGATTTAGCTCAATGGTTACACCACCTGCCTTGCAAGTGCACAGACCCAAGTCCGATCCCCTTTCCAAAAAACAAACAAACAAAATTCTGGAAAGAGTAATATCAAATGTTCCCACCACAAAAATGACAAATTTGTTAATTAGCTTAATTTAATTATTGGACGTTGCATTCATATCACTTTGTCTCTCATAAGTACAGTCAATTATAACTGGTCAGTTGAAAATAAAATAATAAGAAAAATATATTCATGGAAGGCTTTTTAAAACACGGAAGACCCAAAATTATGCCAAAAGAGTCCTAGAATTAACAACCTAATTCAGTAGGATAGCAGGATATGAAATCAATGCACAAAAATCAGTAGTGTTTCTGTGCACCAATAATGAACTCACTGAGAAAGAAATTGGGAAAACAATACAATTCACAATAGCATCAAGAAAAACTAAATACTTAAAAATTAACCTAACCAAGGAACTAAATGGCCTCTACAAGAAAAACTACAGTACTCAAAAAAGGAGATTGAACAGAACATCAGAAAATGGAAAGATATCCCCTGCTCCTGGATAGACAGAACTAACATTATGAAAATGGTCATACTTCCAAATCTGACACATAAAAAATAAAAATACCAATAGCATTCCTCACAGTACTAAAGAAAACAATCCTAAAATTTATATGGAACCAAACGAGACCCAGAATAACAAAAGCAATCATGGCTAACAAAAGCAAAGCCAGCTTCAAGTTATATTACAAATCTACAGTAATAAAAACAGAATGGTACTGGCACAAAAACAGATATGTGGTTAAATGCAACAGAGCAGAGGATGAAGCAACAACCTCAGGCACAAATAGCATTTGATCTTTGTCAAAAGGGCCAAAAACATACACTGGAGGAAAATAGCCTCTTCAACAAATGGTTCCAGGAAAACTGGATATCCACATGCAGAAGATTGAAGCTAGACCCATGTCTCTCACTGTATACTAAATGAAAATCAAGATGGATCAAAGATCTAAATGTTAAAACAGAAGCACTTAATCTGCTGGAAGATAAAATAGGCAAAATTCTTGAAGGCATAGGCATAGGCAAGGACTTTCTGAACAAAACCCCAATTACAGAAAAATAACATGAAGAATCAACAAGTGAGATAATATCAAATTAAAAAGTTTCTGCACAGCAAAGGAAACAACCAAAAGAATGAAGAGACAACCTAAAGAATGAGAAAAAATTTTGCCAACTATTCCTCAGACAGAGGACTAATATCTAGAATATATAAAGAACTCAAAAGTAAGACCCCCAAAATAAAAAACACAATTAAAAAATGTGCAACTGAATACACACTTCTCGGAAGAAGTACAGATAGCCAATAAAGACATGAAAAACTGTTCAATGTCTCTGGCCATTAGGTAAATACAACTGAAGACAACACTGAGATTCCATCTTACTCCAGAAAGAATGGCAAGTATCAAGAAGTCAAATAATAACAAATATTGGTCAGGCTATGGAGGAAAAAGGAATGCTTCTACATTGTGGGTGGGAATGTAAACTAGTACAACCACTGTGGAAATCAATTTAGAGTGTTCTCTCAAAGCTAATAATAGAAATTCTACCCAACTCAGTTATTCCCTTTCTAGGTATCTCTCCAAAAAAGTTAAAGGCATCACAACTTATAATAGCTAAATCTTGGAAGTGGCCTATGTGTCCATTAACAGATGAGTGGATGAAAAAATGAAGTATTTATACACTCTGCCATTAATAAAGATAAACTTGAGTCCTTTGTAGGAAAATGGATGGACCTTGAGACCATACTGTTAAATGAAATACATCTAAAACAGAGGCTTAAATATCACATGGTTTTTCTTATATGAGAAACCCAAAAATATAAATAAAGAGCAAAATAAAAGATAGATAATAGGAAATAGGGAGATCTTCTGAAAAAGAGAAGTGGACCAAGAGATGGGGGAGATGAGGCAGATGAGGAAGGGGAGAGGAAAAGAAAAAAAAGAATTAAGATGTGTTTTGTACATGCATAAACTCCCCATGAGGAATGTAATCATCATGCACTACAGAAAGTACCAATAAAAATTAAAATTTAATAAAAAATACTATGACTAAATTAAAATAGAGTATATAAAATATATAAACTGTAGGAGAGAATAGGATCAGTGAAAAGAACAATCAGCATTTGAAAAGAGCAATCACCATTTTATAAACATTGTTATTTCCCAGAAATGGACATGTCAGTATTTCAAACAGTTTTTTCTAAAGGATTGCTATAAAATTCATTTAGGCCTTATCAGTAAGATCAATCTTATTTAATTGTTTTTAAGTAAAATTAATTTGAGTTAAAAATCCAGTTAGGTTCTTCACACACTTGAGCAGGCAAAAGCATATCATTTCTTAAGAACTAAATCCTTTCGTTAATTGTTATGTTTCAGATTCACTGTGAGAATATCTAGCTAACTGGGCAAGTCTATATGGTAAAGAAAAAGTTGAAGGAGCCTGTTTTAGTTAATTTTCTTGTTGCTGGGACAAAATACCTGACCCCTACAAGTTAAAGAAGAAAATGTTTATTTCACTTACAGTTTGTAGAAGTTTCAGTCCACCGTCAACTAATTCCAAGGCAAGGAGGCATGGAAGAGGAGGGCTGAGAAGAAACAGTCCATGGCAGAGCAGTCAGGAGGTAGCGACATCAGTGAAGCCTTCCAGATTTTTATCCAATCCAGCCAAAAGCCTATTGGATGGTGCCACCCACACCCAGGGTGGGCCTTCCCATTATCCACACCCAGAACTATGCCAAACCAATCAGATGGCTAATTTAGTTATCACTCTTTTAATCAACACTCATACACCCAAGATCCAGCCACCTCCAAAAAGCCCCACCTATAAGTGAGGCTTTGGGGGAAACATCTAAATAAAAGTCATAACAGAGCCTAAGAAGAGCTCAAGAAAAACAATGTCTTTAGCTTTTTCTTTCTCCTTTCCTCTCATGCCTCCAAACTTTTCCATCGCTGGACACACTCTCACCTTCCCCAAGATTAGGTTAAGGCATGCCAAGGAGCTTATGAGAGGTCAACTAATGATAATGTCCACATTAACCAACTCCTTTTCAATTGTAGAAACTTTTTTTTTTACTGATATGTAGAATTTATTAAGCTTTGCACACGTAATAGAATAGTTTCATTTGCATCCAAAGTGCTAACAAAAACTCTAGCAATCAAGAATGGCAGCACGTCATTTTATAACAATCAACATTGTAGCTTTTCAAATTTGGTTTTCAGAAGAATTTATCTTCAAGTAAATCTAGTCATGCTATTAAAAATTGCTTTAGGTCACTCCAAGCTTGGCAGTTAACATTTGGCATAAACAAAAAAAAAAATCACAATTTGATAAATAACAGATAATATTGTAGGCCATAAACATACAGCATAAGGAAATTGTGGTGTAAGTCAGTAGTTATTAAATTACTAGAGTACCTTGGCCTCTATGCAGAGGGTTTGATTCACTAGCCTGGACACCCAGTTTTCAAAGTAGGAGCAATGTCTACAGTATCATTTCTAACATTGCAAACAAGTAGAGAATGAGGAATTCTTTTTTTTTTTTTTTTTTTGGTACCAGGGATCAAACTCAGGACCTTGCGCTTGCAAGGCAGGCAGTGGAGCCACTGAGCTAAATGAGGAATTCATTTTTATTAATAAATTACACCCTCAGGAGTTAGAATCAATACCTTAGTATAAAAATGTTCAAGTTATATCAATCATAGCTGCGTGCTTATTTTAAAAGGTGCTAAATGGATTAAATGGAGATAGCAATGCTTCCCCTAATGTGATTGATCTTACCATGTTTACAGCTATCAAGACCTAAAACTTCAGGTGTTTGAACTGAACATTGATGAGCACACTTATATTTCAATCTGATATGCTAGACTCTGTTATTTGGTCAACCGTTCATTTACTCTGAAATTAAAATTTTAATATTGTCAAAAGTTGATATAAGTGACATAATAACAAATATGCTGAAATGGTTATAGTCACAAATGGCAGTTAACAAGGATATGGGGAGATCCCACTCCCAAGTCACCCAGTAGTTGCAATTACTGTATATACTGTTACACAACTATAACAAATTGGATTTAAAGCTGTTTACTTTAGTCTGACATCTTCACACACCCAAGATATGTACCTTATATGAAAACAGTGTTTATTCAAAAACAAAGTTTTTGTAGCTAAGTTCTTCCCTTAAATGTAAATAAAATGGTAAAGAAACTTTTAATAACCAGGACTCAGAAAATTTAAAAAAATAATTTGAGTTAGGAATCAAATATACAGAGTCAAAGGAAAAAAAATCATCTAGAAGACAAAAATCCAAGTAGCATCTCAGATACAGAGGAATTTTTTAAAAATTGAAAGGAAAGCAACTGTGATCACTTGCAGCTTCTCAGATCATTCTAGCAAGTGTCTCCAGGTACTACCTGTTGTCTGTATAATAATATTTCCCTAAATAAAGGGCCTTGAATGCACATTCAGCGTGTTTCCTGTGAGTAGAAGTAAAGATATTTTCATTTTGTTTAACTCACAAACTGGTCAAAGAAATATGTAAAGCTAGACAAAAGCACATCTGGTAGAAATCCATAGCAATGAATGTTGACAAGATGTGCTTGGATCTTGCTTGCAGCATCTGGCAGTGGGTAGTGGAACAAAGGTAGCAATCTCACAAGCTCTCCTGTGTCTGTTCTGGAGGTGGCTCCGTGGCGGTGGCACTAGCATTTGGAGTTGAATTCAAGACTTTTCCAAAATCACCGCCAGCAGGCGTGGTTCCTCCTACTTTAGACTTTAAGTTTTCGACCTTTTCTTCAAATGACGTGAAAGTTGGGGAATTTCTGGCAGAATTCAGGCATGAACCCAAACCCAGTTGAGAAAAGCAGACCATCAGCAGTTCCATAACAAGGATCTCAGTTCTTTAAGTATTCCAGCTTTTTGGTAGTAACAGAGCCAACAGACGAAAAGGCCGCTGAAGCCTTCTGTCCGGCCTGAGATAAGGTTTCAGAGGTCTTCCTGTATGCGGACGTGGCTGTCACATCCTGCCACCCTTTGGCAATGTTCTGCTTTAGCTCCTGTAGTGAACCAGTCCCGTTTCCGCTTGATCTCTGCTAGATGCTTCTCTTTTGCTGCTAACACTTGAGACAGAGTTTGGATTTCTTCTTCCACCTTTGCCAGCTCTCTTCTCAGCTCGTCCTGCTCCTCTTCCGAGAGTGTCTCGGTGGTGCAGCATCTTCTTCCTCAGGTACTGGATCTGTCCTCAGCAAACCAAGTTTCTCAGTAGGTGATCTGGGTGGAGATGAATTCCCACTAGGGGATGGGTAGAGGTAGTTTTTGTTCAGTCCTGCATTGAAATCGAATGGGGACTGGTAGTCTTCATATAAGTCTGTGTCTCTGTGATCCACCATCCCAGCCGGAGGCAGAGTGCATGGCTTTATGGCTGCCTAAGCTTCCTCCACAGTCATTCGCCCCTTTGGCCTTATTCCCTTTGCCCCACCTTGCAAGCTCACTGAGACTGTCTTCCAGAAACTTGTTTTTTAAAGGTATTTCTAGCATTTTTTTCTAATTATAGAAGAAACTCAAGATTTTTTGTATAAAATATAATACTACAGAATTGTATAAAATCAAAAGTAAAAGTTACCAAGAAACGCAGCCCCTCAAAAATAAGAAATCTCAATATCTCTCCTCCCAGACCTTTATCTCTACACATATATCTATTTGCACATTTTTTTCTTTTAACAAAACAGGTTACACTACAATACTACTTTACACCTTGCCTTTTCTGCTTGACAATATATTTTAAATATCTTTCCACATCGGTATTATAGACTTACTTCATTCATTTTTAAGAATGCCACTATATTCCACTTTATGGCTATACCATGACTTATTTTTTAATCAATACTCCACTGAAAGAAACTTACATTTGTCTGATTCTTTTCACTAGTATAAATAATGTGTGTAGGAACAATGTTAAGTAAACTACCAGCATTCCCCTCTGCCCAGGATCAAACTCAGGACCTTGAGCTTGCCAGACAGGTGCAGTGCCACTGAGCTACATCCCCGGCCCTAGTACCAGTATTCTCTATAACTAAAAGAGGCAGAAAATGATAAAAGTTATACCATCAGAGCATATATTTTTTTAAAACTGGTTCTAAAAAGGCTTTAAGTGTCGGCTTATACACAGATTAACTTACTGTTCACCAAGGACACTTTTGATAGTGAAAGAGGAAAGCTATTAATACATATTTTATCTAGTCCTAAAGTCATCCAGTAAGCTAATCCAGTAATCCAACTGTGGCAAAAGAGGGTTGGAGGAAACACTATGGCCCAAACAGGGAAGAAGACTTCTGTGGAGGGCCAGTTTGCAAGGATATCAGAGTCTCAATAGGGTGAAGAAAGCTTCCATACACAATAATGATTCTTCTTAGAATATCTGAAGCTAACCAGGGGAGGACAGTGTTCATGCAGCATTTTGACCTCTTGTGGGTTTTCGGACCCAAACTGGTATAAAGAGTATAACCAAGTATGGGGTTGGGGGAGATGGTGGCCTGATGCAGGAGTTTGAAAGCCAACAGGAATGAGAAAAGCATCCATTCAGGGGTACATAGGAACTAGCTAAGCCTGGGAAGTCAGAGTCTGACAAGTATGGAAAAGGTTGGGGGGGCTGTGGTTCAAAGGGCTGTCAGGTCCCAGGTAGGAGAAAAGTCTATTTATACAGGGGAGGATTTGGCAATAGAATTGGTTAATTGGTTACATAGCCTACATCCATAGGTGACTGATTTAGGTGGGTGCTATGGTTTGGTTAAGGATCTCCCAAAGGCCCACGTGTTAAAGAGTTGGCCATAGCCCATAGAGCTGTTGGGAAGTGGTGGAACCTTTAAAAGGTGAGGGACAATTGGAAGTGTTCCAATCATATGGAAGTGTGCCCACGAAGAGGATATTGAGACCCTGGTCCTTTTCTTTTTCTTTCCTTCCCTGCTGCCAAGAAGTGAACAACTTCTACTACTATGTACTCTTGCAATGATGTACTGTGCTGTCACAGGCCCAAAGTAACAGGATCAAGTGACCATGAACTGAAACTCTCTGAAGGTGTAAGTCAAAATAAACCCTTCCTCCTTTTAAGTTGATTCTCTCAGGTATTTTGGCACAATGATGGAAAGCTGACTAACACACCAGGATTTAGCCTGGCTTATTGTGAAGCATTTCCCAGACATTATAGATACTGTAGTATGGATCTCTAGGAGATAAGGATTTTTAAAAAAATATATAAAATACAATTCTATCATAGCCCCCTAAATTTTTTCACAACTCCTTAATATCTAATGGTTGGTTAGTATTCAAGTTTATTCAATTAGTTCATATTTGACTGGTTTATTTGAATCAATTTTCAAACTAAATCTCCTTATTACATTTGATTGATATGATTTTCAAGTCTCTGTTAATGTATTCCAGTCTTTCCTGCTTTTGCTTCTCTTGACAACAGATAAATGTATCTGTTGAAGAAGGCAAGTTATTTGCCCCTCAAATCTCCCACATTTCATATCCGGCTGATTATATCCCTGTGGTGTCATTTAACATGTTTCTCTAACCCCTGTATTAGTATCTT